GCTGGCCATGTGTTTCCACCCTGGGCACTAGCGTGTGTCCCGCGCAATCCCTTCCCAGGGCTCCCCACCCTTAAACTGCGAGGGTGGGGCTCTAGGGGTCCTCGGGGAGGGGGGCATCAGGATTGCCTGGGAGAGTGTGTGAGCGGGGTTCCCCGCACCCTGCCCGGGGACTCTCATCCAACTCATCAGCGGTGGAGGCACAGGTGGTATGTTTTTGAAAAGCCCTGGGTGATTATTGTGTAACCCAGAGTTGAGCAACACTGACGGATGATTCAAAGGCCTTTTGTGGTATCACAACCCAGAAAACTGCAGGTAATATTTTCCAAGACGAAATCCACAGGGCGGTGGCGCTGGATGCGCTTAGACCCCCGGGGGCGGCCTCGTGGGGACACAGCCATGTCCTCCAGAGCCTGGAAGACACAAGCCGGCTTCTGAGCTGCTGTGGAGGGGAGGCGCCTTCTTCCCCGTCCCTGCAGTTAGCACTCGCCCGACACCTCCGATCTCACTGCAGAGGCTGAACAGCAGAGTTCCTGCTTCTTCCCTCCTCCCTCTCCATTTAAAAATCACTTAACACACATACAAATTAAATGACACATTGTCTCCCATTCGCTTCCCAGTAATCCAGGGTGGGGAACCGCGGGGGTGGACAGGTGGAGGGAGGCTGGCCGCGAGCTGATGGGCGGAGAGGCCAGGTGCAGGACACTCAGGGAGCCCTTCTGTTTGGACTGGGTGACCCACAAAAACAGCAGCTTGTACATGGTTATCCAAGTGCTGTTCTTTTATATAAATATTTGACAGTTTCTACTATAAGCAGGTCAATCACATATTCAACTATATCCTCACGGTTCCCGTGTTCACCTTTGTGGTTCCGTGTTGCCCTAAGAGCTCGGCCGACAATGAGCTCCTCAGAAAGACCCGACAGCCATTTAAACACTTGACTGTTCTGCACGACCTCAGAGCTTACTGAGTGGCTACTGCCTGAGGCTCCAGATACTAGCTGCTTGAATTCAAAGACATGTTATACATTACTTTTTAATTTTTTTTAAAGATTTATTTGAGAGAGAGAGAGAGGATGAGTGGGGGGGCTCAGAGGAAAGGGGAGAAGCAGACTCTGCACTGAGCAGGGAGCCCGACATGGAGCTCCACCCCTGAACTCCAGGATCACAACCTGAGCCGAAGGCAGATTCTTAACGGAACGAACCACCCAGGCGCCCCTGTTATCGATTATTTTAAAAAGAATATTATTGTTACAAGTCACACTAGTTCATGAAGGCAGAACATCTTATAGCCCCCAGGAGACACGGCACAGAACTCCACTTCTGACAAAGGCACTAAGATGTAGGACGACACAGGCTTTCGAGTTAAGCCCGTCTTCAGTTTGAATCCCCAGATGCCACTTGTTAGCTGTGTGACCAAGGGCAAGTTGCTGGACCTCTCTGAGCTCGTTTTCTCAAACATAAAAGAAGATACTATATTCCTCAGTTTTGATGTATTAGTGAGATAATGTGTATAGTTCACCTTCCTCGTCATCCCCATATCCCACGCCACCGGGCAGAGCTGTGACATTTTGTGTCAAAGCACAGATGCTCCAAACCTGTGCCCTGCGAGGTGTACGATGGAAGTGGAAGCAAATAATTTCATTTTTATTTTTTTTAAAAGCACTAATGGGGTGCCTGGGTGCCTCAGTTGGTTAAGCGTCTGACTTCAGCTCAGGTCATGATCCTGGGGTCCTGGGATTGAGCCCCACATCGGGCTCCCTGCTCCGCAGGAAGCCTGCTTCTCCCTCTCCCACTCCCCCTGCTTGTGT